TGTGTAGTTTTAATCTTGGTTTAGAGGTCTATAAAGTGTTCAAAGTTGGCTAAGGTAGGAGTGGTGTATAAGGCTGGTATAATAACAATAAAAATTATATACATTTATACAATAAACATTATATACATTTATTGAGCCATATTTGGGACTACAAAACAGTTTAGCTGTTCAACTCACATAAATAGGTAACCATGGTTTTTTTAATTGGCTTGCATTCTGGTAGTTCACTTGTAACTACCATCCTATTCTTAACATTAAGATCAGTCTAGGGCTATCCATCAGTAAATGGCAAACATTGGATAAATATCATTTCTGCCTCCTTCAGATTATGGGTTGATCTCATGTTTAGAAATGGACTGGATAATTGCAGTAGACTCTGAGTACGGAGAACTATCTGGCTTTATGTTTAATGGAACAGTAATATATTCAGAGCAGAAAACCAGTGCCAAAGCACTGGTAATGAAGAGGTGGCATGAAGAAGAATCATCTAGAAGCACTTGTAGAAGTGGTTTAGTGCATTAGTGGGAAATGGCAACAATGGAGATATGCATTAGTGCAAGAAGTACATTAATGGAAGCTGGTATAGGCAGTCCCAGAAATGCTATGGGATAAAAGTGAAAAGAGTTGGCAGCTTCCTTGGAGGTAAGCGAAATAATACAGCAAAGGGTCACCTGAAGAACCAAAGGGATAATCTGACCCATTAACACAAATCAGAGTATGTGAAGGGATGATTATAGACCATTTCTCCTATAAAGGTTAAAGACGTGCAACTCATAAAATCAGAAATTGTTGAAAACATAAGGGAGCAAATTTAAGAAGAAAAATCTTGACAGGAATGGAATAATTGATCTGGTGACAGCCTGGTTATAAATATCAGGACAAGTGGTAATAGATTTGTAATTATTCTGCACCTTTTTAGACAACAGGTAAGTTTTCATATGATTAAACAAAACACTTCTTCTTAAACATAGAAACAAATCTCTCACATAGGTAAATCTTTGCAACAAAATGAAGTTTAGGTATTTTTCATACAATCCTAAAGATACAGTATGTTACTATCAAGCCTCCCACTTCATTTGCTTGTGAAAATTAAAGGAGGATGTTATGGCTTGCAAGTTAAAAATAAAATAAAAAATAGGCATGCCATAGTTTATCCCGTTCATATCAGCCTTCATATGTCTGGGAAGCACTACGATTCAGCAAAACCATCAATCATTAGAGTATTATTACTATTGATTATTCTGTCCATTTTGCTATGAATAGAAACAGAGAGAAGAAAAACCATTTTCTCAAGTTAAAACAATGTTTAAATAAGCCCTACAAATGCCAATATTCATATTTATGGAATGATTTTTTACCTTTTACATTAGTCTTTATTAACTTCACTATTGCAGTATTATTCTCAAAGGATTATAATTTAGAACTAAAGTCCATACAGGATATGTGCGCTTGTTTTATTAATAACTTTAGGTTTTCCTATCAACAGTTCAACATTTTGTAGAATTTCAGAAGTTTGTCTGCTTTCATTTCCTCTATAGTACAAGATCAGGAACTTAGATTGCTACTAGTTCAGAGCAGTGCTGGTCAGAAAGAATTTAGTTTTTCATCCATTTAGGTTTTAGTTATTGGGTATCTAAAGCTGCTGTTTGGGTTTATACTACCCTTTTACAACTTATTATTTTTTTTAAAAAAGTGTTCTTGCTGGGTATTTTTGATTGGCTCTATAGTTTGACTTAATGAGGCATTAATAAAGGATGCATGTGAATAAATAAAGTACACACTGGTCCTTCTTAGGAGACTTGATTTATTCTAAATTTTGCTAATTCTTTCTTTGTGACTGTCCAGTCTTATGAAACTAATAATAATTTATAAGTAAAGGCAGTTGGTTTCAGCACTAATGCTTTTGTCCAGTCATCTGCTCTGGGATTAATTATTTGCTTCTTTTAGCTCAAAGATTTCTTCCTTTTAAAAAGTTCTTCTGATTCCTCAAATATAAATTTGTCCTCAAGTATCATGGGTAAATCAGACTGAGGAACATAAATGGAAGTATACCATTAAGAAAAGGCCTCTTTCAATCCACAACAAGCCATTTAAAGCAAAGAACAGAATAGAATGAGAGATGGTGAGCCATAAGTGCAGATTGCTTGAAAAAGTTAGTGCCTGGTAGTTTCTTAAACTACTCTATAATCTAATCAGATTATCTTTTGACAATGTTCAAGAATGTTTGGGGGGGGGTGTAAGAGAGGCCATGTCCTGCATATTTGTTGTCCTTGGTCTTCAAAAAGTGGGGAAGAGATACTTCACTTCTAACGTGGCCTTACAATATTTAGTTTGACAAGGATCTGTGGTGCCTGCTCTAAATGTGGTTTTGCTTAGACAGCTTCTTCAAGGAGACTTTCATGGGTTTTATCTATTGTAGTCAGTCCTGCAGCACAATTACATCCCCCCACCCATTATTATGGTTGCTGCATCCCTGGTAGCAGGCTTGTCAGCCAGTGCAATTCATTATGGATTCTGGCAGCAAATTCAAAACCAGTTTTGAAGAATTTTTAAAATGTGGGCCTCCAAGAAAGTCACATAATAAGGCTCGAGTATACATCCTGAAAGGCGGGGGGGGAAGCACAATGCATCTGAACATAATGATCGGTGGTTTAATTTCAGAACAAAATAGGCCAGATTCTTATTTCAGAAGGCATGTCTTGATGGGATTGCTTTCGGTAATGTTAGCTGGCCGCTGTTACCCAGGTGACAGTGTGATGACTCATGACATTACAACAAAGGTAATAACATTGCAAATTGCACAAAGCCTTTGGAGACTGTGGCTCTCTTAACTGATGATACTTGCAACTTGGTTAATAGCTTGATCATCACATTATGTGGCCCAGGATATTGGAGACCCTACTCTAAATGAGCCCCGCGAATACTTGTGTCGGAATGGTTACCCTTTACGTAATTAATTGAAATGCTGGAAAAATTATCTTCATATATTCCTTTTGTTGTACTCAGGATATGAGTCTAATAGCTAACCCTTCACTATATGGGTACTGTTCACTTAGAATTGTGAGTTGACTGCTGTAACTACAACGCAGGGCCACAAAGAGAGATGATTGAATTGTTTCAAGTAATCCATTACTGTTTTCAGAGAAACTAGATATTATAAATTAGTATACTTTTATATATTATAAGAATCAATAATGTTTATAAGTCAGACTTGCAACTGTGTAACTGAAAAATAATTAATATCCCCAGCTCAGAGGTCTACGAAGCTCCCAAGATGGCAGATAGAAGTTTTAATGCCTTAATTCTTAAACGTTCTCAGGGCATCATTTCATCTTCCAGAGGGAATACTGTTACTCACTCACTGAAGGGGAAAGCACTGCTCTAGTCTAAATATAAGAGTGTCACAGTGGATGATGTCACAGCAAGCATGTGTTCTTCAAGTTTCCAGTTTGTAAATTCAACTTCCATTCTTTTAAATATATACCTGGATTTGCAGGCTTTCTCCCCTTTTCTAACAGATTGACAAAAAGTGTGATCTTCCTTCATCAGAAATGTTAAGTCTTTTTTTTAAAGCTTCCATTTTGGTGCACTGCAGTGCAGACTTTGGTTTAACTGGCTGAATTGATATTCTGAGCAGCAAGTAAGCAAGGATGACAGAGCATCCATACAGCTACTCCTATTAGTGCTTAGAGAGGTATGCTGAGTCTGCTCTGTTCAAAATGCAGCCTAGTCACGAAGCACTGCTGTCACTAAGATGCTACAAAAGCTTGCAACTTGGAGCACAGTAGTATTTTGCATTTTTAAAGACACAGACTTCCCTTTGCAAAGGACAGTGTTTCAAAAGCCTAAAAGGATCTGAAAATAAAAAAGATATGAAAATCAAAATATGTTATTCCATTAAAATAGACTACAAATAAACCCTGCAATATATGGCCATTAAAAGAGAATACTATTACAAAAAACTTCTTTCTTTCATCCCAAGTTTTTGACAAAGGCTAATTGTAAGATATTTTAAAATCTGCAATATACCACAGCAGGAAATCAAACCAAACCATTAATTAATGTGCAAAAAGGTGTCCATTACTGTTTTAGGTTTAATTTTTTAAAAGACTGGAAGCATATCTTTCTCCCCCCTCCATTTCACAAATGGCAATGCTTTAAAACATAAAAACAAAACCCCAAATAACCCTTCATATGAAATCCAAGACCATGTTTAATTTAGCTGTACAGAAGCATAAGATTATGTTCTTTTATTGTAAATCTTTCCTGTCCAAAAAGGGGGACGGGCAAAAGTTGTGCAGCTCACGGAAGAAAATCACACTGAAGACAAAAATCGTCATAAATTTGCCCCAAAGTGTGAGAACATGTTGCGATACATGCATTAACGTGCGTGCGTGTGTACGGGCGCGCGCGCACATGTATGTGCATATCAAAAAGGCTTTGGGCTCTTTTCTATTTTGATAAACACGAGCGTATTCGGCGTCTTGAGAAAAATGCGTTACAGCTAAATTGCAGAAATAGGCTGCTGAATTTTCTCCCTCCTACCCCCAATACAATTTAGACGGAAGACTAGAGTCCGCAATCACTTCTTGCAGAGATGCAGTCCTGAATCGTCGCCCCCCCCCCACTTCCCTCCGTTGCATCAATCCATCCCACGCTCTCTTTCTTCCCTCTCCCTCCCCTTCCGAACTTGTCGGTCCTTGTCCTTGAAAGGTTTCTCCCATAAGTGGCATATTCCTGGTAGTTTGCCATCTTCCGTTTTTGTCATTATCTCAAGGGAGGTATTAAAACAACAAACAACAATATGGAGGCTGGGTCCATTCTCTTTACAAGAGAAAGCCGCCTTTTGGGTGCCACATTTGCTGCTTGCCCCCCACCGCCCCTCCCCCTCCTCTGGCAGGCTGCAACGCCAAGCATCTCCCTTCCCGGAGCCTGCTCTCTCCTTCAGCAAGATGCTCGGTCGGAAATATCGCGCTTCCCCCCCCACCTGCTCGGTTTGGATGGTACAGTCTGTAGTGGGACTCCAGTAATGAAGCTCAGTTGATCAGTCTCTTATAGATGCCGAACGGTGATTGCTCAGCTATGTAATTTTGGATTTGTGATATCTTAGACAAGTAAGTAGCTACATCCGAAGCGTTGCCATTATTATTACGATCCATTATTACCATCATCCCTCCTTCTATTTTGAGACTGTTTATTGGGCAATTTGCATTCCGAAGGCAGAAGCTGACGGAAAAATGGTGTGGACATTTGGAGGACTGAGTGATGCGCTAGATTTAGTTCCTGTCCTTGTGTCTCTAGGAAGGTAATGCAACTTCTATAAGAAATGTAGCTGGTAAAAACGAACCATATACCATAAAGCTTTACTATTTCTGTTAGGAGCACGCCAAGGATATATACCTGTTTTGACAGATACCTTTAAAAGTCAAAGCAGACTGTAGAAATCAGGAGGTGTTTTTTTTTTTTAAAAAAATCAAAACCAGTGTAATTAATGGTATTAATACATAGGGTATAAAATTTGTAAAGAGAACTTTTAAATATTTTGTGTTATTGTATATTGCATACATCTATAGATGTTAGTGGGATATATGCCTGGAATCAATTATGCATTTGCTATAGGGTTAAGTTAGGGATTTGATAATCTATACATCTTTTTGAGTTAAAGTATGCTGCTGCATATGAAGGAGAAGAGTTTGAGGGTTTTATTTTTTGTAAGCGGGAGATGCTGCTCCATTTACAAAGGTAAAACTATCTATGATACTTTATATAGTTCAGAATATTCTGAATAAACTGAAAGTTCTCACCAAAGTGCTCATGACTTGTTCATGAAGAAGCTTTATCTCTGGTTCAAGAAGTTGTACATCATATTTCTGTTTTGTACCTAGTCAGCAAGTCAGTCAATTCCTTTTCTTAAGGTTTGGATTTATTGACTTAGTTTGTTCTATGCAACTTAAGCCAGTAACTTTGCACCACACATTTTATCTTTGACTTGGGAGGTGATTTACTTAGAACTCCTGGAACCATCATCTAGCGATTCATATCATCTTCAAGAAAATATAAAAGGACAAAATTAAAAAGGGATCCCACTGTTTTATAATAGCACTGAGTAGATGGTTGCAGTATACGTTTAAAGGCAGCTTTTATTAATCTGACCTTTGATTATTTGCCTTCGTGTTTTCACAAGCTAAAGTCAGTATTAAAAGGTTAGAGCACCAAAAGATGAAATGGATATTGTGTCTTTTATTATAGAAAAGAGTTGACATAATATTGGTAAAAAAGGATTGTGTGTAATGGCTCGTTTAGTTTTTGTCAAATAGAGTACACACATATATATATTTGCTTTAGAATAAGCATTATATTTGATGCAAGAGGTTCCTGGGACCTGTATTGCATTTGAAAAAAGTGATCCATGTCCTGGATTTTTAGCACTCTCACACTGCTTGCAAGTAAGTGCTAGACCTGGATACCCAGCTGGTTTGGTTTTTTTTTTTTTTTTGCTCACATTCAGCTTTTACCTTGCTTTATTTTGTCTGAATGGCTAGCTGCAAATAAAGTCTTGCGCATTTGCCTTTAAGTGATGATAAAACATACAGGAATTGCAAATAGCTGAAATACTAAGAATTCTGTAGGGAGGAAAAACATAGTAATGCAGCATCATTGCATTTTCACTGTGCCTATATTCTTGAGTAGAATTGATTTTGACCCAGCACATCACAGTTAAATATGCTTACATTTCAATAGAAGAGACAATTATTCACTCATCAATAGAAGATGGTTGACATCTTTAAATTATGTACTGTACCTATAAAAAAGAGCCATTGGTGCAGTATTTGAGGGCAATTTTATTCTCTCTACTTACAAGGGTAACATAGGAGAAACTGTATGTAGCACACAGTGCTCTAGAGTTCTCTCGAGAAAATACCTTTAGAAGTATAATACTCTTAGATATATCTTGTTTCCAGAAAGCATTCAGCAATTTAATTTCCATCCCCCTCCATGCATTTGTACGACATTTTTGAATAGCTTATATGCTGTGACATTTTATAGTGATCAATGTTAGAATCTATTTCAAATAATCATCATATTTTTCATATGTCTTGTTTGAAAAACTGAGATAACATTTCGTCTCTTTTTCATTTCATTTTTTTTACTTTCCCAAGCTCTTTTGTCTAGTCAGAAATATAAAGATTTCAGAATCTGATGGGACATTATTTGAGATATGACCTTGGAAGTACATTTCAACCTTGATATAAGGTTCATTACACTGCAGTGTAACCTGAGGGTTTGATATTTATGAATATTGGGAAATTGTACAGCAGTAGATTTGATCGCATATGAATGCCTTTGCCTCATCTTAGCATTTAGTAGTAGCTGAGGAATGAAGTAATAACTAATTAATCCTAGATCCTTCCAGTCCAAGTTGCATAATCTATGCTTTGAGGTTAAACTGGAAAGTAATGCCTTCTGAAGCAATGAACCTATGTTTCAAGAATAGACAGCCATGTGAATTATTGTGGCATCTTTGCTAAGACACTGTAAATATTTTGTTTGCCTGAACTAGACAAAATATAATTATTATATTATTTTAAAAAAATCTTTGTTTTTTGGGGGAGAGGAAAATCCCAGGAAAAACTTTAGAAAGCTACGACTGCAATCCCACACTTTTAAATCTGAGTGTGTATCTCATTGTTCAATAGAACTTTCTTCTGAGCAAATCTAGGTAACATTTGGGTTAATTGACTGCAAAACCATCTATATTTAGTAGTAAATCCCCAAAGAAATCAGGAGGACTTCTGAGAAAAGATACATTAGATTGAACTGCATTCTAGATTGTCTGAAAACGCAGGTATAACATTGCTAGACTGAATCGAATGCAGCATCTTTTGAAATGACATTAAAACATTTCATTCTTTAGAATATAGGGCAACAATTAAGTTGCAGACAAATTATGTACTTGCTAAATCTGAAATGTTACTAATCTCAAGAGGACTTACTTTTAGGTCTGTAGACACACACACGCACAGACACAGATTGTCAGGTGCTCTTTGAGATTGGTGTCAACCGTATATCAGAAACAAGTTTCAATAGGTTAAAAGTGGAGGTTTGGCATCCTTGATGCATTAGCAGCAGATTGATGAGAGATACAGTTCGCATGGTGGATGAACATTTCCATTGGTGTGGCATGCTATCTATGAATGTGTGTGTGAGAGAGAAAAAAATCCGAATTTGATCCCAGTTCTAATGTAAAGGCACTAGATGGCCTTAGCAAGCCACATTCTATCACTCCTGATTTTTTACCTGGAAATTATATTTTACCTTCTTTATTTCCCTGTCGAATGCATTGAAATGATGTCTAATGTGTTTTGAACAGGTGAAATATATGAACTGTTATTGTAAAGATTAACAGTTGTGTGATTAGACTTGTTATAAAGTAGACAAAGACATTCATTGTATTGTTAGTCATAATTATGATAAAATATAGTACGATACTTAATGTTACTCACTGTTAAATGATAGGATGATTAACCATGTCACATTTCCAGAACAAAACAAATAGAAAATAACTAAAAAGAAGGAACATTTTTACCTGGACATTTAAAATAATTAGCCATATTGATAACATTAAAATCATATTAATTAGGACTAAAATATGTAAAAATGATGGTGGGTTAACTTAGAATAATTCAAATATATATAAACCCAAATAAATGAGATTCATAATATGGAGAATATTTTAAAAATATTATTTTTATACTCAGTTTAATCAGTCTGCATTTTTGTAGTTCACTTGATCTCACAATCTTAATCTAATAATTGATCATTCTATATAGTAATTATTAAATTTCTCCATACCCCTTGCCTTTATGTTTGGCTTCAACAAAGATACATATCACCAGCATTTCTGAAAACTAAAGGTTTTACTTTTACTTCAAATCAAGATCAGATCTGGTTACGCATTGTGGTTTAGGGGAAACGAGGTTTGCTGAAGTCGGGTGCCTGAGGAGAAGGAGGCAGAAGGACAAGGAAGTAACTAACCTTCAGGTGCATAAGTCTGTCATATCAAGATTGCGACAATTGAATCAACTTGGCGAGCCTTATCTTAAAGTCATTATTGTTGACTAGACTTGTGTATGATTGTGTTGTTAATGAATGTCATGGCAGGAGGATAGACATTATGCTGCATGAAAGTAAGATCTGAAAATTAGTGGCAAGATACCAGAGCTATATATGAAAGAGATTTTAGATATATGCAAATCGTTCGAGCTTGTATCAAAGGGCTGGTTATATTTACTTGAAAGTTAAGACTATCTAAATCTTCCTCATCCCATCAAGAAAATTTAATGGGAAAAAAATCAGAAATTTCCTTTACAAATACTTTACAAATCTTTTTCCAGGTTTATTAATTGTGGGGAGGAGGGGAGAATACTATGCCATATGGAAGCCAACTGTAGGAACACATACAATCCCATTCTGAGTAGCTTCTTAAACAAAAGAAGAAAATTGTGATTTGCTTTGAAAATGGTAAAATAAGTGCAGAAAAGGGTGGCTTCACTTAATGGTGCAGTGAGAGGACTAAGTGCAGGAGGCAGGGAGAGAAATTGTATTGGCAACCTCTGAACAAGATAATTTCACTGTTTTGTTGTAATGCAGTAAAATTGGCAAGGACCGGGTCACCCAACTTTTTTACTCTGTATTTAGGAGCTAACAAATTGTCTTAGCATCTATGTAACATTCAATGTCACGCAAAATCCTTATTTATATTTGCAGTTGTCTGAATTGGCAGTGTATATCCACCTGTCAATTCACTTTCTCTGAGTGGAAAAGAAAAACACATCTGTTCCAAGATGTCTCATGGCTGATACATAGTTTTTATCTAAGCTTTTGATAAATTCTAGCCAATACTTTTCAGACTTTAATGAAAGATATGAAAAGTGTATCCTTAAAAGCACTAGAAATTGTGGTTTTCCTGGTTTTTACTCTGTTCGGAAAGAGTTAATGTACAGGTAATCTATCTTAACATGCTGCTCCAGAGTGGGGAAAAACTTCTTATTTTTGAAGCACTCATAAATATACATAGGAGTCTGGCATTTATAACTTTACAAAAGAGTGGAAT